ACGTTTTCATCTCCTCTTCACATGACCTCCTCCAAGTCACCCTTGCACTGACGACCAACTCGCCGCTTCCCTTTCGGGTTTCACTCGAGCAACGGCTTGTCTAGTGATGTCACTTGATGGTTTCCTCAGAGTATGGCCTCCAATCCACCTACATTTCTTCCTGCAGATTTTTTGTACAATTGGTTCCTGCTGGGTTGGTTCGCTCTCAGAGATCTCTATCGCTGATCTTTTCTGGCCATCTGATCTTGAGCAGTATTGAGCGAAGAAAACTGTTGATGAAGGTCTGTAGTTTGTTCGATATGCTCTTTATGACGCGCAGTGCAAGTCTCTGATCCGTATAGAAAGTAGCACTGACTTCACATTGGAGTTGAAAATCCGGATCTTATTTTTGAAGCTGAGTGCTGTTGACCTCCACACAGACTTGAGAGTAGTGAAAGCTTGTCTTGCTTTTCCGATTCTTGCTTTGATATCCTTGTCAGTTCCGCCTGTATTTGAAACGATGCTTCCCAGGTAGGTAAAGGAGGTTGTTTCTTTCAAATTTCTCCCATTCATGCTGGCTGATTGTTGTCTGTTGTTGTTGCTGTTGCTGTTGGCCAGGAATCTTCACCAACTGTTTTCTCTAAGTTCACCTGAAGGCCTATCTTTGATGCTTCTTCCGCTAACTTGTTGCTTTTCGCTTGCATGTCTTCCAGTTTGTGGGAAATCAGAAACATATCATCGGCGAAATCCAGATCCTCCAAGATTTTGTGTGAGTCCATTTTATGCCTGTTTCCTCACTTCCCGCTATTTGTCGCATTATCCAATCTACTGCAATCAGGAAAATCATTGGCGATAGTAGGCAGCCAGCATGTCTTACCCCCCTCTTCACTTCGAAGGATTCCGTGAGTTTCCTGTTGTGGATTACTTGGCATGCAGCACTGTCATACAGCTGTTGGATGAGGTGTATAATAATTGGCAGCACCCCGTAGTGGCGAAGTAGTTGCCAAATCACTTCTCGACCGACGCTGCACTATCAAAGGCCTTTTCAAAGTCGATGAAGTTGAGATAGAGAGCTGACTGCCATTCCAAGCTCTTTTCAATAGTGATCCGTAGTGTTGCGTTTTGATAGATGCATGACTTGTTTCTCCTGGTACCAGCCTGTTCCAGTCGAAGTTTTCATCTAGGGCATGTTTGATTCTCTCCAGGATGATGCGGCTTAGTATTTTGCTTGGGATGGACAGGAGCATAATTCCGCGCCAGTTCTTGCATATTCACCACTAATATCAATGTGAAGTGGATACATTTCATGAGTTTGTTTGTAAGGATTTGAGTTCCGTGACCATATTTGAAGTGAACATTGAATATGGTTTCTACAGATAATTATTTGCAAAAAAGTTACTTAGATGAAAAAATTGCAATTTCTTAATGAAAAATGTTAGTGGAATCATAGAGGGAAACTTTACAAACCATATTTAGCAATATATTTGAATTGGTCGAAAATGCCCATTAGAGACTTCATATGACTGATTACTACTGAACAATGAATATTCTTTTCGACAACGCGCTGTTTATCACGTCCTACAGTTATATGCATCCATAATAATGAAAGAACTAGGGCTATTAATATATGGGTAAAACTTAGGCACTGTGGTAGTAAGTAATCCCATATTAGTTTGTTTATTAGGTATATCACACAGTGGAACAGTATCATTTACTGGATGACAAGGTTTCGAAAAAAATTTATTGTTCGTAATCATATCAATTGTAATCACACGACTTCGAAACTTGAGTTTTATAGTTTTCTTTGTTCCTTCCTATTCGTCGCAGGAGTGCTAAAATTTTCCAAATGTCCGGGCGGACAGGAGTTGAATCACTTCTATTACACGTGCTCTCTTCAGATGAGTCGATAAATAAAGCTTCCGTTATCAATCCCTGCACTCTGTTGCATTAGATTCAAGAACTGTCATCGTATCCCATCCTGTTGGATGGTTGTGTGTAACTGCATGTAGTGCTATAGCTGAACTATTCTGTAGATTTCTTATCTTATTCGGGTCAACCAATCTAGATTTTGCTTGGTTTTTATGTTCGGATCCTCTGGAGCCTTTAAAACAAAACAATTTAGTTTATCTTATATCCTGCAATGATTGTCAGGTCAAATACATAGGCCAAACTAGTAGAACAGGTGCAGTCAGACTAGCGGAGCATAAAAAGCTAGCATCGAAATCTAGATTAGTTGACCCGAATAAGATAAGAAATCTAGAGAATAGTTCAGCTATAGCATTCACTACATCTAATAACACACAACCACACAATAGGATGGGATAGGATGACAGTTTTAAAATCTAATGTCATAGGGTGGAGGGAGAGATTGATAACAGAAGCTTTGTTTATCGAATCAACTACAAAAACATGTAATAGGAATGATTCATCAACTGTCCCAGATATCTGGAAAATTCTACTACCCCCACGACAAATAGGAAACAAAGAAAACTATAAAACTCAAGTTTCAAAGTCGTGTGATTACAATTGATATGATTATGAACAATAAATTTTTTTCGAAACCTTGTCATCCAGTAAATAATACTGTTTCACTGACTGTGTGATACATCTAATAAACAAACTAATATGGAACTAGGGCTATTGACAACATTAATGTTTAAATAACATCAGGTGAATCGATAATATGAATAGATTACAGTTCAGTCGCATCTGTAAGCGGGATAGTATGCATCAACAGCTCGATATTAGACCACCTCGTCCGCACTGGCCACTAAACTAGCTGGCACTGAAGAATCCTTCTCTATCATCATCTATCGGGTACGCTGTACCGAGTACTCGAAACAGCAGAGGCTATTGCGATTCGCCTAAAACAAGCGGTGCTCTATGGGTGTGCAGAAGAAACAAGTCCAGCTAGCCAGCCCGTTACTGTTACTTCCCTGGCTGGCCTTCTGTGATGCCTATGAATTCATGAATTCTGTACTACAATTTCTCCTAATTTTTCTGATATTCAGTGTGCAGTGTAGTGTTATGTTGACGCATATAATCTCGTTTACAGATGCTAATCAACTTTAGTCTACCCACATTACTGATTGATTCGATGTTATTTAAACAACACTAATGTTATTAATAGCCCTAATTCTTTCATTATTACTATGGATGGATGCATCTAACTGTAGAACGTGATGAAGAGCAGGTTATTGAAAAGAATTTTCTTTATTCAGTAGTAATCAGTCTTTTGATACTTGAATCGATATGTGAATATTTAACAGGAGTTCTGGATAATATCCTGCATCTTCAGTCGCGATACAGATCTCTTTCTAAAGAAAGTACGCATCCGACCAACAGTGATAAAAATAATCCAAAAACTTTTGAATTCCTGTTAAAAGATATTCGGGACGATAATCCAAATGACTATTTAGCAAAGCACATATCGAGTGGCGCGTAAAATCCCAATATACACGATATGTTTCAAATACGCTACTATGTTAAACATTAAATATGAAATATGATATACAAACCCCAAATTGTGAGGTATCTGTGGCTGAATACTGTCAAGAAGCGCAGTTAATATGCGTCAATAAGAAGAACAGCAAGATGTGTGTCAAAGGCGATCCTCGTGCAGATTTAAACGGCGCACGAATGCCAGACACAGAATAAAAAATTGTTCAACAGCAAATGGTAGATAAATAAGGCGCACACATAGCAGATAATGGTAAGCTATAAGAAAATAATTACTGCACATCAAAAGGAGTATAAATACATTAAGTCAGTTAAACATCGACAGCAATGTAATGGTTAAGAAGTAACAAATATAATTCATACTACTTACTAATGGTAAGTACTATAAAATTTAACACAAAAGAAAGAATATCAAGAGAGATATAGGAAAGGAATTAACAAAACCCTGATTCAAATTCAGATGTTTTGACTTTGTGGGAACACGTGGAGCACTGTAGCATAACTGAAAATTCATCCCAGTTTTAAGCACTTCAGCAAGGTGTACAAACCAAGCCCTACCCAGAGACTATAAGCTCTGGATCTTTATAATGTTAGACCAGCCAGTTCATCATTTATAGACACTGGTTTGGAGTCCAATGAAATGCGAATTCGAACGTCCGCTAATTTACGGTACAGTGTTGTCACCACAAATTATATTACACTTCAGAGACATTAAACGTCAACTAATACTGAAAAAAGGCGGTCAGCGAAGAGTTACTCTTTTCGGTGATATCATTCTCAGGCTGTAAAATCGCATATACATAGTAAATTTCTCTTAGTAACAAAAGGGATATTTCCAAAGATGTGTTATTAGAATTGTAAATTTTAGATAATAAATTACCTAAGGTAGAAGGGGTAGAAACTAAAATAAAATTGAATAAGTAAATTTTGTGAAATAATATAATTGATGGAGTTGAGTAGAATTCAACTAAAATTGAACCACATTCAAGTTAACAACAGTGATTTCCAGATTCGATAAGGTGTTCCAGGACAGAGCTACTGTTGTGGGAGGATCTTTTTTTCTCCTTTATAAAACCATGACTGTGAGTAAGTGTTCGATGATACGTTTGGATAGCAAAGGCTGGGTACGGACGACATACCTAACTCCACAGGTAAAGACAGTGAACTGGTAGATGTACGCTGATGAGATCAACAGTAGAAGCTTATCCTTCACATTAGTGCAAATCATTTGCTTATGTAGAGAAAGTTAGTCGAAGTTCGGTCACGGAGAAGGTTCTCTTCAGTGAGTGGGTCAGGCAGTTTCCTCAGTATTTCTACCTATGAAAATCCTTCATTGAATTGTAGATTCAAGTAGGGGATTTTTTTGGGAAACCATAGCTATACCATCTTTTTGTCTATATATTTCATTACTGAAGGAGAATTGGTCCCTTAGAGTTCATCTCAATATGAATTCCTTCAAATAGTCAATGGGTACGCCAATGTTTATCTCCTTTGAATCAATATTTTCACATATGCAAAGATATGATTACCTTTCTTCAATCACTTTTTTTCTCCTTTTTCAGCTGGTGATCAAATCATAAAAAATTTGTCTGATACATGCGGTATGCGTCCAAGTGATCAAAAAGTTCTACCAAAAATACTCGGCGGTAAACCAGTTGAACCACATTCATGGCCATGGGCTGTAAGTTCAATAGTTGATACGTTTTATTTTTTTATGTTGGTTTTCAAATTAAGTAAAGACGTTTTAACTTGCCAGTTGCATTATGCTACTGTTTATCCCAAGCACGAAATTAAACTGCATCATCATGAAGAGAATCAAACAAGCCAACCTGGATGAAAAACTTCGACCGGAAAAGGCTGGATTCAAGAGAAACAAGTCATGCATAAATCAAATCGCAACACTACGGATCATTATTGAAAAGAGCTTGGAATGGCAGTCAGCTCTCTACCTCACTCAACTTCATTGACTTTGAAGAGGCCTTCGACAGTGTAGATCGAGAGGTGATTTGGTAACTACTTCGCTACTACGGGGTGCCACCGACAATTATACACCTCATCCAACAGCTGTACGACAATGCTGCATGCCAAGTAATTTACAACGAGAAACTTACGGAATCCTTCGAAGTGAGGACAGGAGTAAGACAAGCTGGCTGCCTACTATCGCCAATGATTTTCCTGATTGCGGTAGACTGGATAATGCGACAAACAGTGGGCAATGAGGAAACAGGCATAAAATGGACTCACACAAAAAACTTGAAGTATCTGGAATTCTCCGATGATATATGTCTGATTTCCCACAAACTGGAAGATATGCAAGTGAAAAGCAACAAGTTGACAGAAGAAGCATCAAAGATAGGACTTCAGGTGAACATAGAGAAAACAGAGGTGATGAAGATTCCTGGGCAACACCACCAACAGCAGCAACAACAACAGAAAACAACCAGCATAAATTGGAGAGATCTGAAAGAAGCAACCTCCTTTACCTACCTAGCTGGGAGGCATCGTTTCAACTACAGGAGGACGGAACTGATGAGGATATCAATGTGACGATCGAGAAAGCAAGGCAAGCTTTCCTTGCTCTCAAGTCCGTGTGGAGATCAACAGCACTAGTCAGGATGCAAAATAAGATCCGGATTTTCAACTCCAGCGTGAAGTCAGTGCTACTTTCTAAACAGATCAGAGACTTGGCTCCACATCACGAAAGGCACTTCGAACAAACAACAGACCTTCATCAACAGCCAACTTTTCTCAATACTACTCAAGATCAGATGGCCGGACAGAAAGCATCAGCAACAGGGGGTCTCTGGGAGCGAACCAACCAGGAACTGATTTTGCGACAAATCTGCAGGAAGAAATGGAGGTGGATTGGAGGCCATTCTGTGAGAAAACAAACCATCAAGTGACATCACACACCAGGCCATCTCTTGAGTGGAGCATGAATGGGAAGCGGCGAGTCAGTTGGTCGTCAGTGTGAGGGTGACATGGAGGAGGTGATGTGAAGAGGAGATGAAAGCATGTGGGCAGACGTGGAGCCAAGTGAAAAAGTTGTCAGAGAACCGAACGTAATGGAGACGTGCGGCTGAAGCCATATGTTCCTCTAGGAACTAAAGGAAATAATAACACCATCCAGGACTATCTTACGTAACCTCACCAGAAGTTGAAAAGTTTCTCAGCTTCTTTTTACTCCTTTTGGTTAGAAATTTGGTGAGGGGACTCAAGCCGATGAGATAATATGTTTCTGTTATCCAGAGTGCTACTTAGCACTCATTCACATGGCAGCCAGTCTATCCTGTTGGTATTCACAGTGGGTAGAAGGTATGCATTTTGTAGGTGAACAAGTAGAATTCCGAGTAAGTAGTTCAGAAAGCTCTACTTTGGATACTACGGTAAACTTGACTTATATTTCACCTCCAATCATTAGCCACTACTCAATAACAGTTATAAACAATATTTAATCGTTGTGTCAGGCACCACTCCTGTCTTCAGAAGAATAAAAGAGACTGAATGATGTCGACCATTACTGATGATACACGTTGAACTCTCAAAGTACTTGTTCTATTGAGACCAAAGAAAATCAAGACAACAAATTGTTCTTCCAAAAGACGGGATGCATTTTAAGATCAGGAAAGTAGAGTGATGGTGATCGCTTAACCAGTCAGGAGTTGTCAACGAACGACTGAAGATAACACAACAATGTGCAAAACGACATGACTGGTTGGCCGTGTACCTTCAGCTTAACAGTGAAGGTCAGCACCCAACGCTGAATGAAAAATGCTGTAGTCTAATATTTCTGAAGGATTATTTTCCGCCACACTGTCTTCCAGAAAAAAGGATATCCACGAAGATTTGTAGGCAGAATATATCTAACATACGTTCGAATGACAATTTGCACATATCTTCGGTATTGTGCTTCTTTGTCTTCCTTTCACGTCTTTTGTGTTGTTCTTTACCCCCATCATACGATATTCTGGTAGCTGATACAGATATTTATATCTGTATCTATATACTACTTAAAAATCTTGTCAGTAGCAAACGCCAAAATATCAATGAAACCGGTCAGTCTTCAATGAAAGCTGTGTAGTGGGCGTCAGTCGAAGTGGTGAAATCTGATTGATTGTTTTTCTGACTAATAGGCATATAGTTAATATTTATGCAGTCTGAATTGTGGTCAGTGGGCTGTCAAACTAGTCTACAGTTGCACAAAATGAAGTTAAGATAACAGGCAAAGTAAAGAGAATACTACATAAATTGATAGGCAAGAATTGGGGCAAAGTAAAACTATAACCTTCCATGGAATGCGAACGCATAGGTGACCTTGAGCTGACCGACCGGGAAATACATTAGTCTCTGCATTAAAAACAAAAGTTATGTACATGAGGAATACATGAAAATACATTAAACTGGATAGTTTTCCCTGATATGACTGAAAAATGCCTCTAAATTATTCTGAGGAGTATCAGTTTTGAGGTTAGATCAGTTTCTGTGCATGTATTCATCGAGGTGACTGAAAATAAGTTCTTCTTGTGACCTATTTATTTCTGTTATCCCGTTTTTCAATCTTCTCGAAAAGACTTCGACTGGATAAGCACGGATTCTAGTGAGACGATCGACAACTACTCACTAGGAAAATGCGGATAATAAAAAAAAAACCTAATCCAAATCCTCAACCTAACCTTAATTCTAACCCTAATCCTAATTGTAACACTGATTCTGACCCTAACTTTGATCCTAACCCTAGTTGTGACCGAAACCCTCATGGGCTATTAACACATTGTCCAAACAGTACTTTCAAACGAGATTGGGATGAAATTTGCACCTCGATTCGTGCATAGCGTTCATAGTAACACTACAGTATTAGTAGGTCTCGTTATCCAACGAATAGTAGATGTTCAGGGTCATTGGAACGTTCACACTCACTATTTAAAACACGTCAGTTAGTTGAATCTAATCTAAAAATCCTATATTCAACATTTCAGCGTCTCAAGGTGACCTACTTATTCGAAGTAACCTGAGTTGTTGCGATGGTGGTAGTGATGTCTAGTATTAGGATGCAGGATGCGTGTTTCGTTCTATCTGGGATTCGTCGCGTCTGGATTTACTTGTTCACAAATGAGTGATATTGTCTAAAATCCTATTCAGACTCAATGTCCTCCCATATTTCAAATACACGAGAGCTATCTGCTTGAGCCTCTGGGACACAATAGACATCTTTCGGCCGATGAGCATGATTTCAAATTATTGTATTCATGTCTGCGATTCGCCAATAATATATATAACCATAGTGTTCAGCTTCAGTTGGGTTTATGGGCTCTGAGAACGGATGTACGCATTGATATAAACAAGATTGTGAATTCAAAGTTAATACTGACTTTTCAAGTACTGGTTTTGTAGGAACTTTTGTTGTTTGATTGGTTAGAGGATTTCATCATGAGCTGACATCAGTGAGAGAAACATTGGAAAGCCAGCACTAGAGTACTGGACAGCTGTTTCGAACCCCAGACCTCCAGGCTACAAGGCGAACTCCTAGACCATTAAGCCACTGGGACCCGACCCAATGGCTCATGATTTCTAACTTCTGCCAATTCATGACTAATGAAGAGTCCCAAACTAGGACGAAACACCTGTCCAGTCCTCCCAGTTGGTTTTCCAATGGTTCTCTAACTGATTTCATCTCATGATGAACTCCTTCAACTAATACTTATTTGATTGTATGGAGGATTTCATCATGAGCTGACATCAGTTAGAGAACCACTGGAAAACCTGGGAGTACTGGACAGCTGTTTCGTCCTAGTTTGGGACTCTTCAGCAGTACGCACCCACCGGGATTCAAACCCAGGACCTTCTGGTTACAAGGCGAGCTCGTAGACCATTGAGCCACTGGGACCCGATCCAATGGTCCTTGAATTCTAACTTCTGCCAATTCACGACATAGCGCGACCATTTCGCAATGTAACCAGAAGGTCCTGGGTTCGAATCCCGGTGGGTGCGTACTGCTGAAGAGTCCCAAACTAGGACGAAACAGCTGTCCAGTACTCCCAGGTTTTCCAGTGGTTCTCTAACTGATGTCAGCTCATGATGAAATCCTCCATACAATCAAACAAAATCCCTACCAAACCAATAATTGAAAATAATACTTATTTATTAAAATAATAAGTAGTATGAACAGAAAATCGTGGAAAATACCCATTGGGACATAAGAGGAAAAAGACAATATAATGAAAGAAATGAAATACTGCCTCAATGTAAAAAAAATAATCACGTTGTCTTTCTTCCAGTTACACCTTAAGAGAATTACTTCACTTAATGGAAATGTATACTGACATTTAAAGGTTTTCTTTCAAAATACAAGAAGTTTCAGTTTTAATGTTCACAATCCAATTTTGACATGGTCTTAAACTAAATCCATGTAAATGTCATATTGTTGATTTTAGTTTCAAATGCAAACAAGAATTGGGTAGACTGATTGATTCAGTCCCGTGATTCCTGTAATACTGACGGCGCTGTAACGATAGAGAGTAAATCAAATATCTCTCATCTCGGTATCAGTTTCTCTTCCAATCTACTCTGTTGGTCGTCTCATATCCTGTTGATTTCTAAGAAAAATTGTCGTTTCACTTATTACATAAAGAAGCTGAGACTTTCCGGTGTCATAACTCAACCTCTTCCCTTAAAATTTATTAATTCAAATATTCTGGCCATTCTTCTTCATTGTTCGCCTATATTCTCCCCCGGACTTCTTAGAAAAGACTGTATCTTATTACGTGGAACACTGAAGGCTGTAGGTAGAGTTAGTGGTGTGCCTTTGACTCAACTAACTGACACTGCTGTCGGTTGATAGGCATTTTAATTCTTGAAGGTAGTTAGCTGAAGTTATCTTGTCTGATACCGAACATCCTCTCTACTTTTTCGCAACCTGTATCTCCAAGGGTGAAACCAGAAGAAAATTCATAAGAAGTAATGCTCTTACGGCTACTAAATATAAGACTTCTACCATACCAGCATATTTAGTACGAGTGGTTGTGTATGCAAAGAGAGTGAGATGTCAGAAAACAGCTTATACACTTTTCAAATCAGTAACTGAACTGCAAAGTATCAGCAAAGATTATTATTAGTATTACATGTATTATCTATGATATTATCTACTTATACACTCATTATGTTTCCAACATCATTCTGTTTATAGTGGTTTGATTATTAATATTATGGTTACCATTCTGAATTTTATGAATGTACATATTTATAAAAGGAACTAAATTGTCATGCATCGGTGACACAGCGGTAGAATACTGGCCTTCCACTCATGCGGTCTGCGGTTCGATCCTCGGCCGACGCACTGCTAAACCTCGCTAAGTTTGTAATAAGACTGGTAAAGAGAGAAGGTTGGGCCAAATGAGGCTAGCAACCCCATTCCGTAAAAGTAAACACCACTGCTACCGAAACTTCAAGCCTCTAGCTTGAAGCCGCCTGTGTTCCACTGGGAACGTAAAGGAATAAAAAAATATATATAAAACGCTGAAAGTTCCATTCTGTATAATTATTATTGTCGTTGTTTGGACTAAAGTAATTGATTATATTTTTAATGGGCAGAGGTTGTAACCGACAGCAGGTTATGTACAAAGTCCTAAGGTTAATGAACTTCTGGCGGAATTCATTTTCAAATTGTCTCCGACGTACCTTTGACATTTGACAATATTAGACGCAGACCGTCTTCCATTTATCTTGTGAATTGTTCTTTGACAGTACTTCCTTTATAAAAATAATAATAGCGCTTTATTCTGAACAACGTTCACATAATGTACAGGAATTTCAGCGCAGTTTATTGCATGATAATCTCTGTTCGTCCAGGATCTCTAAATAAAAGATTAATTGACAGTAGAGTACGTGTGACACAATTCTATCTGACCTGAAGCGCAAACCAATCCATCATTATGATATCTCTTCTTTATCTCCTTCAAGAAATACACGACAACATTTTGTTGGATGCCAATTAGTAAAAAGTTCAGAAGTACATTTCGTGAATGAGGGACAACACTCAGGAACGGTCATCTCACATATTGGGATAAGCTATCGTCGAGGATAATGCTTTTTCACATGTTTAAGTGGAAACTTGCAAATAATATTTCATAGACCATGTATTACATCAACAGGATCCTGTACCAACCTCTTTTTAGAGTGACTTGATAAACGAATTGGTAATTCAGAAATCTTTATGAATGTGTACTGGTTTTAATATGATTTATAATTCCCTATGTAACGACAGAATACAACGGCCAGGCAACAGATCGTTTATTGAGAAAATCAACAGATATTTATAGATTTGTATGTAAATTTTTATTCACTATTATTATTAGCAGAGAAACAGCGTCTTCTGATTGTTTCAAGCTTGCTGAAGGTTATTCTGTACCGTTTGTGACCGTTTCTCAGAAAGTTAAGCCATATATCTGCGAATCGTATTTGCACACGCTAAGTCTGCTTTGATTGGTTGTTGAGTTCCTTAAGGTTAAGCTTTGTTATTGTTTTATCTTAGGGAATAGAAAGACACTTGCAGCAAAGAAAATTTTCATTTCGACGAAATCATCAACAAGGCTGTACATTCGTGTATTTATATCAAATGGATGGGAAAGTTCCAGAATAATTTCTGGTCAAGGGTCAGATTAATAGAATTACAATTAGAAACTAAAATGCCATAATAAACAGGGGGACGGATAAAACTCAAACAAAGTAGTATCATAATTACTGAGGAGATTGACATATTGTGCAATTAGGGGTTAGAAATGTAGAAATAGAAACAATAGAGAGGATGTTTGGATAAAAAATCTAGAGAGATCATAACTAATGTGATGAATAAATGTTTCTGAAATCAGGGATTAAATATGTAGAAATAATAAAATAACGAAATAGACAGGAAGTTCGGATATGAGAATATGGTAATGTAAATAGGGATTAAGAAAAACTTAAAATAACATGAATAAACAGGAAGTTTGGTTGAGAAAGTCAATGGGATATTCACTATTAGAAGAATTACCAGTTTATGATGGCCACTGTAGGGACAAGGGTTGAACGTATTTCTATTGAACACATAGCTTGGGTTTGAGCTTTTGGATGGCTAGTACCTCGGCTATGCCCAGATGTCTTAATTTCACTCCCTTTGATAGGTTTGATCGAATCTTGTATATTATTTTGAAGGATTTTTCGAAAGGCACTGAATGTCCTGAATTGACCAGATGTTCTGTCACTGAACTATACACACATTTTCGTTCTCCTTTTACTAGCCAGGCTGGATAGTGTTAATGAGTGCGTTTTTCAAGTTGGCACATGGTACGGCCGATGTACTCAGCTCCGCAAGAGTAAGTATACTGGTATATGCACGTTGATCCCTGATTGCATAAACAATTATTCATCACATTAGTTATGATCTCTCTAGATTTTTTATCCAAACATCCTGTCTATTGTTTTTATTTCTACATTTCTAACCCCTAATTGCACAATATGTCAATCTCCTCAGTAATTATGATACTACTTTGTTTGAGTTTTATCCGTCCCCCTGTTTATTATGGCATTTTAATTTCTAATTGTAATTCTATTAATCTGACCCTTGACCAGAAATTATTCTGGAACTTTCCCATCCATTTGATAAAAATACACGAATGTACAGCCTTGTTGATGATTTCGTCGAAATGAAAATTTTCTTCTCTGCAACAGTCTTTTTATTCCCTATGATCAAATGTGTATATTCCGTGATTATTTTATCTCGCGACCTCGATTGGAGACGTAGACATTAACGTAAATTGGTGTCTACTAGTTTTGGCTAGCAGACAGCTCTCACCACACCTACATTTTCTTGAGAAAGTTTGGGAGGGGGTGATGGAATTGCCAAATTCAAAAACACACTGAGATTCTCAGCTAAATACATGAAAAAGTTGTGCTTAATTTTTTTTATTGATAAACTACTTCATGTTTATCCCTTTTCAATGTTTACTTCTTTTAGGTTCGTTTGTCAGTAAAACTGCCTCGTCGAAAACCAGTTACTTTCTGTGGTGGTACATTGATTGCACCTCAATGGATTCTGACAGCAGCACATTGTGTTCTTGTCGAGAATAAGCATATCCCGGTTGGAAAACCAGTTCTGCTGGCAGATCATATGAAAAGTACAATCTACGCGCATTTAGGTGATCATGATAGATTTCATCAAGAAAATGCACAAATCGATTATCGTGTTACTGTTGCAATACTTCATCCAAATTATCATAGAAAATTACAAACTGATGGTTATGATATAGCCTTATTACGTCTTTCAGAACCTGTTAAAACAAGTAGGTTTTATAGAAATACAGAGATTTGTTTTTGCTGTTTCGTTTTGCTAAGTTTTAAAATGGACTCAGTTTTCATGACACTTGAGACTTGAGAACAATAACAAGAGCGTTGAATGTCAGTCTAAATCTGTACCTCAATTACCTTCATCGACTTTGAAAAGCCTTTCAACGGCTTTTACCAAGAAGTAGTTTGGAAACTACTTCAACACTATGGCGTGCAGTACCCTAAATCTTCATCAGCCTCACTCAAGAGCTATCGTATGACAATACCTGCCATTTGTCAGGTGATCCACAACGGAAAACATAGATAGGCATTTGAAGTGAATACAAGAGTAAGAAAAGGCTGACTGCCTATTATCACCGACGATGATATTCCTAATTGTGGTCGACCATGTGTGGGGATCGAGAAGACAGGAATACGCTGGACCACCTATAAGAAGATCTAGAAGATCTAGATTTCGCACTTGGATGATTAGATTCACGCTCGTATGTGTGTATCTTTATCAGTCCTCATTAATAACGTCTTAAATTTCATTATACTTGTCTTTTAAGCTCGTATAAACATTTATCATCAATGCGGGTATTCACTCCGGTTTTTCTTTTTCTCCCAACAGAACCTGAAATCGATTTTGCCTGCCTACCACCGAAAGACTTACACTTGAATCCAAATTCAAAATGTTATGCTGTTGGTTGGGGAAGTAATAAAGGCGGAAAAGTTCCCACCTTCGATAATTTACACAGTATCCTTGAATCGTTATTTGTACCATTTCCAAGTTTCTTTAATTCACCATTCACATTCGGTAGAGAATCAAGTCTATGGAATTTAAAAGCAGAAGCAGAGGATTCAGCTAAAGTGTTACATGAAGTCCAATTGCCAATTGTACCAATGGAAGAATGTCGTAGACATTATGCTGATATCAGTTCTAAAGTTCATATTTGTGCAGGAGCTAAAAATAAAGTAAGAATTATTGCACTATTACTTTTCCTTTTACTTTATCCCTTTACGTTATGAGTAGAACATCGGACTTCAAGCTAGAGGTTTGAAGTGACGATAGCAGTGAGTTTATTTTTACTGGATAGGGTTTTTAGTTTCACGCCCTCCCGACCTTCCCTCTTTACTGGGCTTATTACCAGCTTAGAGAAGTTTAGGAGTGCGTCGGCTGGGGACCGAACCCCTGACCACATGCGGGATTGTTGAGCATTCCATCAGTGGTAATTACAGCATTCTACTGATTGCGTTGAACTTCATTCTTTTCTGGAAGAAATTATTATGCTTTGAAGCTAGTCTTAAGTTTACTTTGCTAATGATGGCTACTAGCACTGGAATTCATGAAGTCCGTTCCATCCTACTTAGGATTCGTCAGCTGAATGTAGCTGAACCCTCTTGTGAGTAATGTTATGATGAGAAATACAAAATCACCTAAACGAATAAAAGATGAGGGCTCTTGTAGCTCACTAACCTAATGGATAACACTATCCCTTTGGAAACAAAGGGGGGTTGGGTTCGAATTGAACTGGGATCACCATTACTCACTGGGAGTGTGGGGGAATCCACCTGATGAGTCTTGAAAAGGACGAAACATGCCTCCTGGATTCTACTGCTAGTTACCGCCAACTAAGGAACACCATGTTGGTTTCAAGGCATCGTCGAAGCGTCCACACTAAGAAGAGCCAACATATCAACAGAAACTAAGCAGCTCAGTCCACTCTAATGAATAACACAAGAAATACCAAATAACTCGAACGAATAGTCTTAATTTTGAATGAAGTTAAGAAACTATCACGATATTTTATTGCATAATGATACTGACCTCCGAATAAAAGGTAGTAAAGTATATATTTCCCTTAAAATGCTGAAATCAAAAAGCCGGCTGTAATTCAGCAATGTTTTTGATGTAGTTGTGTTCTCTGAGCTGACTGATTTACTTGCTGATCACCACCATTGTACTGTCAAGTCGAAGATACAAAGAACGAAGACGAAATGTTCTTATAACCAAGTTAGCCAAAATCAAAAAAAACAACCAGACAGTATTCAAGTATTGGTTTGTAAGGATTTCGTTTGATTGGTTACAGGATTTCATTATGAGCTGACATCGGTTAGAAACCACTGGAAAACCTTCAGGGAGTAGTGGACAGCTGTTTCATCCGGTACACAACCACTCCATCGCCATGGTTCGAACCCAGGACCTTCTAGTTTCAAGGCAAGCTAGTTCGTAGACAACCTTTAAGCCACTGGGACCCGATCCAATGGCCAGCCATGAATTCCAACTTCTACCAATTCATGACATGACGCGACCGCTATCCAATGTCATGGTTGGAGAGTATTTGTCCTCACACCTGACCTGCTGTACCCTACTGGTCACGACTTCCCACTATGACCTAGACAGCTACCTACCTGAATAAGGCCATTTGCTAGTGAGCATCTCATTGATATTCAAGTATTGGTTTGTAGGGATTTGACTTATTGGCCCTATTCAAGTAGGTAGTTATATGGGTCCCATTATGGATAAGATTTTATGTTGATAAATCACACAGTGTTAAACAGTGTTACCTGGGTTCTAGTGGGAAGTCGTAACCATTAGGGTGCAGCAGATCGGGTGTGAGGACAAGTACTCGCCGAAGGCATTACCTAGAGGTCGCGCTACGTCGTGAATTCGCAGAAGTTGGAATTCATGTGCTGACCATTGGATTGGCGAGTTACAGTGGTCTAATGGTCTACAAGTTAGCTCGCCATGTAACCAGACAGTCTTGGGTTTGAACCATGGCGTTGGGTGCGTGCTGATGAAGAATCCCAAACTAGGCCGACGAAACAGCTGGCTGTCGGGTACTCTCAGGTTTTCCAATGGTTCTCTAACCGATGTCAGCTCATGATGAAATCCTGTCACCAACTAGACAGCACACCAGCTGAATGCTTAATCAGTCTACCAGAACAACCACTATCAAAAATTGGACCAAAGACTTCTACAAAAAGGATTAAGCTACAACACTGATGACACTTCAAAAACTGATTTCTTCTTTGCCCTTCAATTATCCCTCAAATCATCAAAGTTAAATGAGGGATCACAAGAAGAGATGCGCCAAACAATCGTACCAATGGTTAAACAAAAAAAAATCAACACACACAACTCAACTCTCAAAAACTGAAATGTAGGAAAGATAATGTCAAACTACCAGCTGACAAAGGAAGGACCACAGTACTCATGGATAGGGAAGAATACGCCAAGAAAGGTAAAGGACTACTCTGAGATGAAGATATATACCAACAGCTTAAAATAAATCCCATCCAAACATTAGACAACCGTATCCAAAAAATCCTATAGGGTAAGTAAACCATACAGCTCAGAGAACACAACTACATCAAAATCATCCAACTGAGCTACAAATGTTCTCCATTCTATTCAGTAATGTTTACTCACTTTTAGTTGATTGGTTAAATATTTAGGCGAATTATTTGCAACCAGCTCAGAGGTTTTTCACTTAGCTTTGATCCTCCTATATCTACATTCTTTCACAGATACTCTATCTAACATCCTTTTTCTTTAGTCTGCAACTCACAAACTATATACGGACTGTAGTATATGACTTAATGAATTTTATGTAGTTGTTGAAATCGTGTTATGTCCAGTCATTGTTCACTCAAAGTAGTTTGATGGATGGTGACTAGCAGTGGGATCTAGGATAACACGAATCTCGTCCCACCTGGGACTCGTCAGCCATTGATATATACCTGTATTCCCCAGTGAGTGATAGCGTTCCTACTGGGGCTCGAACCCAGTGCCCACAGTTTCGAACGCCAAGTCGTTATCTATTAGACCATTCGGTCTGCAATCCATCAACGGGAAAGTTGCAACTGAATTAACTGATACCCATTGAGCAAGAAGTGGCTCTCGTGGCCCAGTGGTCTGTGAATAACCTACGTTGGCATTTGGAACTATGGGTACTGGGTTCGAGTCTCAGTGTGGGGAACATCATCATTGACTCACTCAATGGGGAATGCAGGTACATCCGGCTGAAGAGGTGGTTCCAAACAGGACGAAATGAGCATTATCCTGGTAATTCTACTGCTAGTCACCATCCACAAATTTGCTTCAAGTTAAATAATAATCAGACATTGTCAAAGCACCTGCACAAGGAGCTGCCATGTCACAACAACCTGAGGCCGAGCACTTCGGTCCAATCAACCAGTCAATCAATCGATACGGGAAAGTCCAAATTGTGAATTAAATATAATTGTTTGCTTATCTTTTCTTTTCTTTTTTTCTAGGATACATGCGCAGGTGATAGTGGTGGAGGTCTATACTGTCAATTAGGTGATACAAATCAATGGTATGTTATCGGTGTCACCAGTTTCGGTTTAGCTCGTGGTTGTGGTTTGAATCCTGGTGTCTACACGTCGACTTCATCGCATATCGAATGGTTATCGAAACAGTTAGCAACAAAAGTGTTTAAATAATTAGTAAGAAGAAGAAGAGAGAATATGAAGAAAGAGAAAGAAAAGATTTATTCGTTCATACACATACACACACACAAACACACACACTTATGAACACACATAATTAGTAACAATGATAATTGTAATCATCATCATCATCATTATCTATTTGGTTATTTATTGTAACAAGTTGATTACGCAATTATTGATGATTTTATTTATTATTGATTTATGTAAAGAGAGATTAGTACACTGCATAAATGTTGTTAACTAATTGTTGTTGTTGTTCCCTTGGGTTCCTAGTGGAACATAGGGCTTCAACTGCACGCCTCCACTTGTTTCTCTCTTCTGCTGTACTTGCATCCATGTTAGTCCATACTGTTTCAACTCCTCTTCACATGATCTCCTCCATGTCACCCTTGGACGTCCCACTCGCCGCTTCCCTTCCGGCTTCCACTCGAGCATTGGCGTGACGCGCAATGTCACCCAGCGGCCTCCTCAGCGAGTGTCCAATCCATCTCCACTTTCTCCTGCATATTTGTTGGGCGATTGGCTCCTGTTTTGTTTGTTCCCATAGCTTCTTGTTTGTGATTCTTTCCGGCCATCTAATCTTCAGTATAGAACGAAGACAGTTGTTGATGAAGGTCTGCAACCTGCTGAAAATATTCTTTGTGACCCGCCAAGTTTCTGATCCGTATAGCAAAACTGACTTGACGTTTGTATTGAAAATCCGAATTTTGTCCTAATTACGTCGGACTTTTGCTCAGTATTATCACTGGATTTCATCATGAGCTGATATCGGTTAGAGAACCACTGGAAAACTACCACTTGAGTACCGGATAGTCAGCTGTTTCGTCAGTCTGGTTTGGGACTTTTCATCAATATGCACCCATCCCACTGCCAGAGTTCGAACCCAGGGCCTTCTGTCTTGTAGAATATTAGGCCACTGGGACCAGCCTCCTCAATGGCCAGTCCATGAATTCCAACATCTAAGTACTGATGGAGAGTTCTAAAGGAAGCAGCTGTCTGGAACTCCAATGGTTCCCTAACCGATGTCAGCTCTTGATGAAACTCTGTAGCCAATCAAATCCCTGCAAACCAACTCTAGAATATCAGTATTGCTGTTATTGAGCATCTCTTGCGTTCCAAGTGGAAAATAAGGGTCTGAGTGTGGCATTTCCACTGCACTCGATTCTCTAACATCACCACTTACAACAACAAGCTCCACAACCGTTCACAAGGTTTTATCTGCTCCTTCTCACATGATCTTCTCCATGTCACTGTCGAACGCCCATCTTGTCACTTCCTATTTCAGTTCTGCTGTAGCCTGTTGTGCCACGTGTAGGTCTCCTCATCCTATTTTGCTAAGCTTATTCACCTTAAGCGAGAATTCATTCCGATGGACATCAGAGAGAAGAGCCAATATTAGGGATACTGGACAGTTATTTCATCCTAGTTTGAATCCCTTCACTAGTGAACAATAGTAACCTCATGAGAACAGCATTGATAATCAGCAAGTGAATGAGTGTGTAAGTCATTCGAAAAGTAAATTTACCATCCACCCACCCCCGACACTTCATTTCCACCTCCTTTACATGATGATGGAGCAAAGTCCGTCAGTAACAGTCTGAATTTGCATAGGTAATCGGTCTGGTGTGATTTTGTATTTTCTTTCTGTTATGTGCTGATTTGTTTCTTTCTTCCGCTTACGCCAGTAAATATGACGGCACCTACTCTTCTAACACATTCAAACATCTGTTCAATTTTGGCTTTGCTACCGACATGCCAATATGTTGTTGTCATAATGAACTGAGATTTCCTTAATCTATGTAGAATTCTATTTATTGATAATGTACTAAATGGATGCAATACTGTAGTAAAAAAAGCTGAGAATTCCATTCTGTATCACAAGTACTGTTTTGGAATAAAGCAAATTATTATTATCATGTTACGTTTGGACGTTTCAAAGGTATTTTATCAATTTCTTATATAACCAGAATATCTGTTGTAGCATTTGATATTCTATGCGCGAAAATAGCTTGCAATAGAATTACTTCTGTCGTCACCTCTAACAAGTCATAACGAAATCAGCTGGTTATTATCTGAGCACTGACTAAAAATCAATAAAATTCGGTCAGTTGAAGACTCGTTGACTTTAGCTGAGTATAAGTATAGATAGATTTTATAGAAACAGTTCTATGCCTTTCGAAGATAAATTCAGTTCAGCTTTGTTAAGCAGTTGTACATACAAAAGAATTTTTGAATTAAATTATGTAGACGACAGTAAAAGAGATGAGGAGGAGGATAAAACTAATCAGTTCACACTCAATAATTGCTTGAATTTAATTTAGACTTCATTATAGAGGCGAAGTGAGGCCATTGAAGTAAAATCAGGGGGTAAGAAAAGGCTGAACCCCTATTATCACCGACGATGATATTCTTAATTGTGATCGTTTGGATTATGCAGAAGGCTGTGTGTCAGGATCAAGAAGACAGGATAACGTTGGACCAACTCTAGGACATCTGGATTTCGCGTGTGGATGACTCATGTTTAATGTCACTCAAACTCGGTGACTTACAGAAGAAAACCAACAAACTGGCTAAAGAAGCAGTGCAGCGAAAACAGGACTCTAAGCGAACATAGAGAAGAGAAGGAGGTGATAAAGATACCCAGGCACCACAGCCAACAGCAGCGACCTTCTGGGGGCAAAGGCATTGATGAAGATGTCAAAGCTAAAGTCGGAAGGGCGAGATACTGCTTCAGCACTCTGAAACCAGTTTAGAAACTTTCTGCACTCAGAAAGCATAAAGAAGAAGATTCGGATATTCAACACAAAAGTGAGGTGAGGCCAGTTGGTCAGTGCTTCTGTATGGGTCAGAAACTTGCACTGCAGGCCAGTGAAAACTTTTTGTCAACAGGTGCGCACTTCGATGGCTGCATACTGAGGATCAAATGGCTGGCCGGCTGGCCAGAAGGAATAAGCAACAAGAAACTCTGACAATGAACAAACTAACAGGCGAGAACCTATAGCTCAGCAGATATATAGGAGAAAATGGATATGGACAGAACACCCTCTGAGGAGCCTGTCGAATGATATCGATATAAGTGCAGGTCATCATTCGAATGGAACCCTGGTGCTAAACGACGAGTTGGGCATTGTTCTGAGGATAACATGGAGGAGATAGTTAAGGGGGGAGGATGAAATGAGAGATTGTGGGCAATCATTAGACTAGTTAAAGAGGACCTCAGAGAATAGGACGAAGTTTAGATGTATTAATTGGTGGATGGTGACTAGCGGTGGAATCCAGGATGCGCATTTCGTCCTATTTGGGACTCGTCATCTGGATGTGCCTGCATTTCTCAATTCACTTAGAAGTGTAGATGTGCTTTTGAAGCCCTATGTTCCATTCGGGATCCAATGGAACAATATTAACTATAATAAAGAGGTATCGGTAATAATAATTTTTATTATCACCGCCCTAAATCCTAGAGGTTATATTGGGTATTTTGTAAATTCATTTGTAAGCTAATTTAATTAATGCATTTGATGAAAACTTCCATATTCCTGTCGTGTGTAATTCAAACTTAATTTGTTTATTATACAAGCTATGAGGTGAAACATGATTGTTTATTTTGTTCTGTGTTCTCTACATGTGGGAATTTAAGTTAATTAACATGCTGCTAAGGCGCACTGGATAGATGTACAATACTTGAACATTTTCATGTGCCATGATCTGATCCGTGGTGCGGTGGTACAGAAACATGACACCAGTCAATGAAATCTATAACAGTTAGTTTAAGCCAGCCAGCCAGCTAGACAAGTAGGGAGGTGCAGACTGCCTATCTGACTAGCTGAGGTTATCGGAAAGACGATAAGAACCAATAACGTCTTTAGACAATTAGTGATATGGCTCAAAATCCTCGAAGTCAATAGCTGGCACAGATGCATTCACTCCTTTTTGTGATTCGTCAGTCATATCCAATAAAACCCCGTTGTTCTTCTATATTGATGTTGTTTTTCCCTCACACTCCTGTTTATTATCTCTCTTTTGATGAGTCTCTCTTTGCTCTCTTCTCTTGCTTTGTGAGGTTAATGGAGAGTAGCAACAGGAACTGTTGCACATCTATGCAGAGTTCTATGTTGAAACTAGAGATTTGAATCAGAGTGCTTTAGTTCAATGATTCACAGAAAGTGCACAAATTACACCTCTTAATCAATTTTCAAACTCCAAAGACATAATCCATGAAAGAATAATAAGTGTTAACTTCAAGCAATATGGTCCATTAAAATGTACAACTACCACTACATTACAACCATTCCAATATTCACGGATTAACAAAAATGTCTGCAGGAGGGGCATGTTTTAAGGCTTCCTGATTGATATATATCCGTCACCATGTGATAGGCTGCGGCTATAGTCCAAACACGAACAGTAATTCTCGCATCTGTCCTTCTTTGTATATTACTAAGCATTTGTAGAGGTAGATAATTCCCAAATATTATTAGCCTACAGCATTCATCACTCAGCACTGAATGCTGACCTTCACTGTTTAAGTCCACTTGTTTAGTTGAAGGCTGGCTGTCAAGCATCCACACCATTAAGCATTTCGTCGTTTTAAGTTCGTTCCTTCACGCATCATCCTCGCACTAAGATTTTGATCCCGAAATATAATATGCATTTTGGACGATTAATTTCATGTTGTGATTCGCCTTCGGTCCACGCAGAACAAATACTTTGCGGGTCGTGAGTATAGGAACTTGCTTTAGTATCCGTCACACCTTCTGTAAGAATATAACACATGCAGCAGTAGTACATACATTTAAAATAATGCTAGGTGGTTGGAGTCAAATGAGGAGGAAACCCAGCACCTTCATTTCATGCTTATCAGTACTTAGCAACAATCCCGAAGGAACTGACAGCTCCTCAGAGATTCGAACCTGTACCGCTCAGTGTTGTCGTCACAGACGTTACCACTGACTAACCTCCTGTAGGATTGTAATGCATACACTTTTCAAACCAGTATCAATAAAGCAAAGAAACCTAGATATCCATGACTTCTTGTTGACTGCGTATAACCATCTAATAGGAGTTCAAAGTTCACTACGATGTAAAGTCAACTAACTTGGTGATCACATAGTAAAGATTAGAAATTATACAGCTAATTATATACTTACTTCACGTAACGAATTGATTATACATTCTATGTTTTGACTAGAAAGAATGCACCAATAAAAAAATCTAAAGACGTGATCTGTTAAACTACGTTGAGTTCA